CATTTATCCTAAAGACGTCACGCTTTGTTCATAAATGTGCGTTGCACGTATGGCTGAAACCCGAAAGATCCCATGGCTAGCAATATCGCTTTCTTCTAAGGGAAAAAATCTGCTAACTGAACAAATATAACGAAAAATAAGAACTGAAACAGAAAACAATAGTGGACAAAAGTTTAGTGTTTCCATTCTTGCTTACAGCTATCTACCAGCGCCCGTCGCTTTTTTGTACTTAGAAACCTTTGACCTTTCTTTCTTTCTCTTTTTTCCTATCTTTATCCGATTGTGAAGTGCACAAAGTTCAACATCACCAACATTCATGACTAGCTGATAATAATTCAGATCTTCCTTTGACAGAGGGAAGAAAATGAAAACGAAAGTAAATTACCATGACTTCAAAGTAAAAGTAAGTAAATTACGCACGCAAAGTACCAGAATTTCATGTGAGTTGACCCAGTGGAGAGAACTGTTGAATGCACAACAAGGAATACGTCACCGGCATTTTTCGATGGGTAATTCCCGTTAATAACGGGAATTTAGCCATGACGTATATATTGTCGAACTTCGTCTTGGGTCCAATGCAGAACGAGCATTTACCACTCCGGCGGCTTTTAGGTAGACCCGCTCCTTTTATTGTAAATTCCGTTCTATAAACCGGTTCTTCTATGTGTTTTGAAAGAATTTCTGCGCGCCTATTGTCNTAACCCCTGCCATGCTTTTGGTGTATATGGGGCTCTTGCGTGTGGTTAAAAAAAACTTGGTCACTAACCAACATGTGCTGAAGACTTCTTAAGGTATTTCGTGAACCTGTGGCAAAATTCTTTGAGGCATTATGTAGGAGTCGATGATGAAACCAGCTCCGTTAGCTGTAAGATCTATGCCAAAATGAAAGCAGATGTGTCGTGTTTGAATGGATGTACTTGGTTTTATTTCTAAAGTCAATATTTCACCAAGTGATTATAGATATGCTTTGTGTGACACGTGCTCAGAAGCTCATAAACTTTCTAACTGGATTTGCGTGCTAGATTAACTGTGTTACCAATTGCTTCTTAGCTGAATACCTTTAGGAGCATTTCTTGTAACTCGTTCAACCCCTACATCTCCAAATGGATAACAAACAACACTCCCGGAAGACCACCAATACCTCTGGGACTTCAAGGCGCATAACCTGCTTACGACGGATATCCTCCCTTCCGCCTACACCAACGTGAGAAATATCTATTTCTGGCACCAATTTGTTTACGCCGGAAAAATGGAGGGCTTGTTGGCCTGGGGGTCGGCGATAGATCCCATGTGTATTGCAGGACGCCTCCGACCACTACGCTATACACACCCATGTAAAGTCGTAAGGAGAATAAATAGTGTGCGAAATGTATTCGTTGTAAACATTGCTAAGATTCTGCTATTAAACCGACTTTCATTTAAACTCGGCGTGAAAAATCAGTAAGTTTCTTAGGATTGTTCAACTTACAAGAGGTTGTTATGCAACTTTTGTCCGGTTAACGTTCCCACGTCTTACTTGTCCGTTGAAAAACAAATTATAATCAACGGGCAATCGTTGTCACTAACAACAGCCCTGTATAAAAGACCACGGTTGCCTTATCCGTGCTTTGCTCCACTGAAAAAGATTCAACTCAATGTGACCACAAAAGCATCACATCAAAGGAACGAACGACTATGGAGTAACGACTCGGCCTGAAAACGTTATCCGATTAAGATTTTTATAACAAATTCGTGTAAGGTGAACAATCAAGAAAAATTTAGTGTGAAGATAATCTAGACATGCTATGTGTATAGATACTGATGAACGCCTACTACTCGCTCACAGATAGTACTTCTGGTAATAACTACACAACCACTTCAAAATTTTTATAATGCCGAGACATTTGCAAAACTCCGGAAAGCAGGTGTCTGCGGTGGGAACGAACGCGCTATTGTCCTTTCCAGGGAGTAATGCGTTCACCACCACACCATGCGGGTCCTTTGTTTCGCACGTCTCTCAGCTATTTCTATCGATCTTTTTGCCACAGCAATCACCTGTCAGCGGGGTTGATCTGGGGAGCGCAAATCGGCATAGAACCCAGTTAAGCTATGGCTGTAGTTGAAATCACAATGTTTAACGTTTTGTTTTCTGCCTTCTATAATTTTCATGGCAGGTTACTAAGCGAAATACAACCACAACGTTGCTGAGATATTTGCAAAACTCTGGACCGCAGGTGTCTATGGTGGGGAACGAACGCGCTATTATCCTTTCCGGGGAGTAACGCGTTCACCACCACACCATACGGGTCCCTCGTTTCGCCTGTCTCTCAGTTAGTTCTATCGATCCCTTGCCATCAGTAATCACCCATCAACGAGGTTGATCTGGGGAGCCCAAATCGGCATACACTTCAAAATTGTCATCAAAGTTGTTGACTGTGGGAAAGAGGTGGAAGAAATGCAAGCAATATATAAACGATTTACCTCATAGTATTTGTTCACAAAAATAAGAGAAAATACTCATTTTAAGTACTGGAGCTTGCATGCAATGAATTGTATTTGCATTCAGGGTGTTGAAATTGCATGCCAGCTTATATGAATTATGAACTGCAGTTTATATATTAAGTGTTTTTGGTGTTATTAAGAACAATTTCCAACAGAAGATCAGTTAAGGCCTCATAATAATTTCTAAATGCTAACTCTGTCAAAGCACACTCCTCGAACATCTATTCACTCCGAAGAAGCATTTCGATGCCTTATTATCTCGTGCTAACGAAAGTTATCCCTGAACGTCGGATCCCAGTGCACTGGTAGAACGCCCGTTCACTAGCCACACTGTCTAGGCGTTACACTTTTTCAACAGAAGACATCTCTCGCTTATGATACAAACTTGTCCAAAATAAGGTTTTTTGGATCATCTGTAGGTGTCATATTATTTCAGGTGGTTTGTTTTAGCGCACACAAATTTTTCTTAGGATTCTTGCAATTAATCGATATCGTTTTTTTTTTCGTTTACCCAATCTAGATGCTGTCACGGACGTCGCCCATGGAAGAATAGCGTATTAATGATTCCTCAATTAATAATTCGAAAGGAACTCGTTCGCAAAAACTATTATGACACCTATGGGTGTCATTCGTTCCAGAGTGTTAAACAGTAGTGAAACTAGAACCTAACCAGGTGGCTAACATGTGCTTTCCGTTCTTGTGCTGCTTTACTATGGCAGGTGGAAAACATAACATGTTTGACGTCCTTCAACAAGCACATCTAACTTGAAGGGCTATTTACCTGAATCATGATGTTTCAATCACAGTTAAGCCATGTTCGAGTCCGAGTTCTGATCTCAGTCTTCTCCAGCTCGGTACAAATGGATAGTTTCGGCAGGAGTCCCTTGTTCATACTTCACAACATAGTCCTAGCGCATGTCGGCACTCCGTCGGGAGTGCCACAACTATCCCATTATATTTTTTTTGTTTTAACTGCTAGCTAACAGCATCTCTCACAATTTTAGCGAATCATTTTGCACAATTGAACAATGTTGTACCCCGAGGATTCCATTTATGCTGTCTTAAATATAGAAAATCAATATCGATTCATCCGGTTCCATATCATTACAAGAAGTGTTTCAATGTAATTTATTCGCCGAGTGCATTTATACGTGTGGAAACGNCTTAAAACACAAGTAGAGGGAAAGCTTATTCGGCATATTCTCAGTCTATGAGTGAGACCAAATACGATGTTGTTCCTCTCATATCCTCTCTCCTAGAATTATTCATAAGTGAAACATTTGTAGAAATCAGTAGATCATCAGATTTGTTCAGTTCTTTAGTCACCTTTCTCGCGTATGGGTTCGGCTGCAGCTTGAGAATTTTTCGCCTACACGATATCTGCCACCGAATGCTGGTCGATTTGTCGGCCCAATTAAGAGTCGAACCAGAAGGACCTAGATAGGCCAGACCTTTATCGTGATGAACAAGAGTATTGTCATTTCGAGAAAAAGTTGAGTCTGATGAGAAGAAAATCAGAAAACAATTATCTTCCAGCAATCAGCACCCGAACATAATCTTTCAAAAATATTCAAATTTCTCTATATCTACACGTCTCATACCATATCAGAAATAGCCGAATCCCTTTCTCACTTCGTAGCAAGCAAGGCCTTGAGAGCAAGCAAGATTACGGCCTAACTGTGGACGCGAGGTGTTTCTGGGTGTCGGGTTGCGATGTACAACGGGGGATTTATCCTCTCAGCGTGGTCTCCGAAGCTGAGAAAAAGTCCGGCGTTCCCATTACGAAGCCAAGCTAAGATTAAACCGATACATCAGAAAGCCCAACTAAGAGTAAACCGATAGCAGGTTCCACCACCATGCTGGTATGAAACTATTCACAACATGGAAAATCGCTCTCTGGTCCACAAGGGCGGTGACTGCGTGTGGTGGTGACGACCTGGGAAGAATTTGGCCAGACTGACCTCTGAATTCCAGGAAACCACAATGGCTAAACTAGCAAAACTCCAAAAAAAAGTGGGAATTATGTTGGGGCCCGCGCAAACATTGAAGATGAGACATCCACGTAACTAGGTATCTAAGCAAGTAGGCAGGACTCATTGTAGTAAGCAAACTGTTTAGTGACATCTAAGAATAAGGTGCTAGTAAACCCGATATTAAGGGGCTTTACTGGTTGAGAATAGATTTATTATCAAAACGTCGAGCAAAAACATTGAAGTACTAAGAAGTAGAAACACTGATGATCCGTACGCTGCAGAGCTTGGAAGTCATATAAGAAAATAGGTACATTTTCCTAGCGCGAAGTTCCACAATTGTCAACTTATAAAAATGTTCGTGCGAAAGCAGTCCATCGCGAAAATTGGTGCAAATCTGCAAATGCAATATGTCAGTTTGTATAACATTGTACGACGTAAGCACACTGCCTTCCAACAAACTAGTAACAAAGAAAAAACTACAAATATGAAGGAAAGCTAATTGAACTACAATTAATAGATTTACAGAAACATTAACGAGAATTTTGATCACGACAGTCGATTTGTCTTCACGGGTGGAGAAAGACGAATTGGGTCAACATTGGTTAGGGCGTTCATGTGCTCCATTACTGAATCGCTCAGTCTCGGATTTCGAACCTTCAGGAGGCGCCATGATTCCGAGCTCAGCGTGCCATGTCTGTTGTTATTCATCTAGAATAAATTACAGCAAATTGTTTCGTTAATGATAAGGATCGACTCGTCGTTTTCACTCGAAAAACAACATTCTTCTTGATTGATATGAAGCCCTTTTATACGAAAAACAAAGAAAAATTGGAAGGTCTTTGTGGCGGTCTTTCTTGAAGAAACTTTACGAACCGCCTACGCACTACGGTGAAAGAGTGACCTTAAAAAATAGTAAATGCTTCAGTTGACAAATCTGATTTATCTCAGCAAAACTGCTTTAAGACAATATTGAAATTTTGTCAATCACAAACAACCACGGGTTTAGATACAAGAAAAAGAGAAAAACAACTACTTACGAAATGAAGGCAATCTGTATATAAGCAAGCGGCTTGGTATAAATCTGCCAACTCCACACAATCGACCACATTTCTGGAGCAAATTCTGAAAAGACCAACGACAAGGATGAAAACAAACAGCGTATTTTGTTATGTTAATGGTCTTTTCTGCTACACTTCTTTAAATGGCATTTCGTTCACTCGAAAACAATAACGAGGCATTAGCCTAACGCAAGGCGGTTTCACATACCTCGCAATGAGCTCCTGCTCACACATTGCTTTAAGGACGAGAATAATGTATTTCTCAGCCAACTGCATTAAGTCAGAAACATCCTGCACAGTTTGTGTTATAAATAAAACGAGTGAGGAATCGAAAAACGAACTACGAACAAAATATCAAAAACACCTGAAGCTCTAAATCCTGTAGAGAAATGGAACCGGCGTAAATGAAAATCAGCATATTTCTCACCGCAGCTACAGGGAATTCTTCTATTACTATGGCGTTTGTCTAGAAATTCAGATCCTCGCTTACTAACATTACGGAACACTGTCCAATGTTTATGTATGAGCCAATAGCTATAACAGTGCCATTGACCGTAAACGATAGCCAGTCTTCTCGAAAGGAGAATTGACGACATCGTTCACCTACGAATTTACTACTGAATTTATTTGTTCATCAACAGTGAGTTATAAATAATCCTATGTCGCTTGTAATAGCTGTTTCTTCCCGTCTGACATGGGGTATAACCAAATCACCACTTTGAATAGCACGCTCGATATTAGCGCGCCCTTTCAGCAGCATTAAAAATTAGTGCCTATCTAGTTCGAAATGCAACAATTTGACAAACCTCGCTTTCCTTCGTGTTATGCCGAAACATGGCACGAAAAACATCTGAATGTGCAATAAGCTTGTATTTATGTGCTGAAAATACCACTCGGTCGTCACCGGATCCAGCAGTAATGCTTAAATCGCAGTGTGGACGGTTCTCCACATCCAGGAGCATTGCAAGTTCTACAAGTATCATAATGAAGTCTACTTAATAATAAAACTATCATCTATTAGCTGTATTTCCCGCGATCGCCACATCTCAACCCCACCAAGCCCTTTATCCTTCTGGGGTAAGCAAATTGCTACCAGACCTGTCTGGCAGGATAGCAGCACAGGTTCGATACATCGGTAGGCAACCATGAGTCATTTTAAAGACCAGATATGCACCTTCATTAAAAGATGAACCATTTCACTAGTTTCAAACATTTTGTCGTTTATTTTCAAACACCGCAGCATTCAAACCACATGGAAGAAACCTTGCCGATTTTGCCAAAGTGGGAAAATTGTTCCTTAATATGAATAAAGCATGTAGCACATACCACTTTCCACGTGAACTCGAGGTGCATCTGACACAGTTATTATTGGCGTAACACTCTGAGTCACTTGCCAGCACTTAGCACCTTGTAGAAGTTCGACAGTGCATGATATAAGCAAAGTATCATCAGTTCTAATACAGTTCCGAACCTGAGAAACCAATCATAGATAAGCGAATAAACTAGCTATGCTCTAAGAATATTTCAAGAAATGTCTATGATTATATCGAAATTTTTGACCTGTAATAGTGACTAAACCCTGCTATGATAAACAACACAACTAAAAGAGAAACTATGGAGAAACGCAATAAAAAGTGATCGCTAACTGTTTGCCTCGGTATATCGTGAATACTACATAGCTGTCCATCAATCAATGGACTCCTGTGGAAATCAACTATGTTGGAGTTGCAATACCTGGTTACGTCGTTATCACCCAAAAGGCATAGACAAAATTCAGCTTTGCCAGTCACCTAAGCATTCCAGAATTACGCATTTAAACACAACATTTTAAAAGTGTACATAGAAATACTTTCGTCAAGGGAAATGTAGCACACATGTGTACCAACATTGATACGACATTAGCTCTAAGGTGGTCTCGACCTCCAAGATAAAGGCACAGCTGCCAAACGGTGGCAGGCATTTCAAGATCTCTGATAGCAAGAAATCAAAATCACATGCAACAAACACTTGATAAAGGTCAAAAATGCGCTAAACAAACTTGAAAATGCCTCTTAGGGCATGCGAACCAGGCTGCGACAACTCCAGAAGCGGCGAGAAATTGCTAACCTGAATATAAGATCTGAAAAAAGAACAAAAACAACATATGCACCCAGAATGCACCGTCCATCTTTGGGTGAGCAGAATACATTCGACGTTTGTTACACACTCATTTACCACCGATATTCCTACATTCCGTGCAAGACGATATGCTCCAAGAATAGAACGGCTTTCGGTTCGACCACGAGAACGACGGCTAACTCTTTGATTAGGCTTCTCTGACATGAATATTCTGCAAAGCACAGATTAGTCAAAGTGAAAAAAGACAAAGGTACAACAAAAACTTGCTTTCCAACAACTGAATAACTAGCACGAGATAAAATGAAACAAACCCATTGATTTACTGGATAGGGTGACTTAGAAAGGGATATCAAAGGAAAATAGGAAGACGCGATGCGCTTGAAAGGGATATTCAAACATTGACGACGTGTTGGTGGATGATCTAGCACATGCTGTAACGCACTGTTAAATTTGATATACGCAGGAGGACATTTTAAAAATGGATATTGCCAAAGTCGAAAACATATTTAGCCCAAATCTATAAGATGTGTTATGACTTCTTGAGAGATACTTGCGACCAACTGCATTCAGGAGCTGGAACATAACAGATGAATAGGATTTAAACAGTGGATCAACGCAAGTTACTATGTCGTTATTGTGTCCGACGTTATAAGAGCCTCGTATCACTTCGTTGTTTGTCACACTGTCAAACAAAAATCAACAAAATAAGCATATGCTACTGTACTGGCATCCCAAAACAGTTCAACTACTCCGTTCCCATCATGACCGTAAAATATTACCCCATAAAACATGCATATCGATTACGTTTGGGTAGTCGATAAGTCTCAAAATCTGTGCAGAAATCGGGGTTTAACATAGCCGACATCGTTCTAAACATGGATAGCATAGAAATCTAGGATAGAAAAAAATGAAGAAATACAGAACTATGTTATTAAGTATCGTATAGTTGTTAGGCTTAACAATTTCGTGAATATATTTGACACTATTTCATTTTATTTCACATGATCCGTCATCACATCTACGATGCGCATAACAGCACTTCATGCATTTGATTTGTTTTCCTTCTGTGGCTACTTCAACTGCTGCCCGAGGATATCATCTTCTTTATGAACGTCATAGAATGTTGGTCGAGTCGATTCTCCTTACAGTCATGGAGATAGTGGACTCAAAGCGTTCCTACGTTGATTGGAAGACAGCATTGCGGAGGGCGTGCAACAAGTGCTTTTGACCCCTGATCAATTACATCACTCAACACTGCGCTACACTTTCGTTCCTCCATCCATCTTTAACATTGTGCACATCACGAAATACTTTTGCCATCTGTATCGTAATTAGAGGTGCGATGTATATCAACATCATAGCACGGACAAGAAATAATGTCGACTAGCAATCCAAACATGACGTGAATTCATTTAAACAGATATTTACAGATAGCAGTCTGGACTAAAAATATTAATCCCAACTACTACGGAGATGGAACTTTTTGTGCGTTCAGTGTGAAGCGAATGTGTCTCAGCTAACCAGGGACTTTTGTAGCTGGAATTAGGACAAGTGGTATCGGAGGACTATGGCCAATAAAACAAAATTTTTCTCTTCTACAGTGGTGAATCGGCAATCGGCGGCATTCTAGAGCCCGCAAAGCGTCTTTTTCTCACTTTTTAATTTCCGTTCATATATTTCGAGCAGTGAAACGATAGAGCAAGTGGTGTTTCGTCTATTAGCAGAGGGCAGTATCAGCTAATGTACCGATTCTTGCAAAATGCAGCAGCAGCGCCAAAATTTTATTCCTCTTAGCACCCTATAAAGATTTTTTTATGCCACTAAGATGAAAAAGCAAAGTTTGTTGTTTAACTTTGAAGTCTTCACTGAGCCAGCCAAATCCTGCACTCCTCAAGCATTTCATTTAATGGAAAATACGCATGCATTACAGACTCACGTGAAGCTGTAGGTGTAAAAACATTACGGAGATTGAGGTGAAATAATGTTTTGGCCTAAGAACTCAACTGCATTTCTGTGCTTCAAGTGGCCCGATTAGAAGCGATTAGATATTTTTTGCCACCCATATATCAATTTCATCTATAGTAGAAATGTTCGACATTTCAGATTAACAACGAATCGTCCACATTTGATTGTTGGAGCTGTTCTATGGGCTGATCACCAACCAAAATGCATTGATAAGGCACAGTCACACTCAAGAATCTCATTAAGAAATTTCGCTGCCGCTTGTATATGTCAGACCCTATTATGTCAGATGCATAAGCTTCTCCTTTTTTATTCTTGTGCTTTGTCATTTACATGAGTGTTCCATGACAGTGAGCAGATAGGAAACTCGACGAACAAAATAATTCGCACCACTTGCTATTAAATGTCAACACTGTCAAATCTCAGTGTTATGCCTAGGAAGCTAACAGTGTTTAAATTAGTCACTTGTTAACATGTAACGCTCAAAATGAATTGATTTCAATGGAGACGAAAGTATAGGAGATTAAAACTCCCGGCGTTGACAGCATCTGAGCGTCATGCATTCGGCTTCACTAAACACTATTAGAGGTGATTGAATGCATATCTGACCTATACAGTGACTCGTAATGGTCTGTCGATGTATCTCTTTGTGCAACACATACTTTGTGTCAAACGTGGTTTCTGGAAACCTATCTTTTGCGCTTAGTAATTAGCAAAAAGTGGTTTATGAAAGAGGTTAACTGGAGATGAGAAACTGTTGCTGGCGAAACGGCAGCCAACGACAGGGATGAAAAGCAAGCAATTCTATCGCTAAAATTTGCTTATATTTACAAAAAATGTGCGCCTTTTATAATTAGTATTGAAAAAATTCCTGGAGGCATTCCTACAACCGCTAGTTCTTGCGTTAGCTTGGCATGATTGCTCTCCTGCGTGATTACAACCGTCACGCTCCGATATAACTTCGTTACCTATCGTCCCCATGTCCACGAGTGCCGCTATATTCAAAAAGAAAAAAATGGCGAGTTAGCGATTTAAATGTACTTGCATCTCTAACTTAGCCTCACAAGTAGACATCTTTCTAAAAGTTATGCAACAAACTTTCCGCATGTGCTCGCTGATCTTACACATACTTTTGCCTACTAAGACCGTCCCTTCGTTGCAGCCTTCAGCAACCCGTGGTCTAGAAGAGTTCCAGAAAAGGAGAAGAGAGAGACTCGTCATGAACTTCGAACGTTATAATATTTTCTCTCTTGTCTTTCCACTTCAATAATGTTACACTACCTAATTCTGTCGTGCTCCCATTGCTTCAAGTTCGAATGCGTAACTGGATTGAGAATTACTTTTCAACTTTTCTTCTTCGCGTGTGGCGCAGTGGTCGGAGGCTCCCTGCAACATACACGTGGAATCGATCTCCGCGCCCATGGCCAGCAAGCCTTTCATCTCTCCAGGGTGGTCGGCAAATTGGTACCAGGCTTGTCTGGAAGGATAAAGCACTGACTTGATACATCGGTAGGCTATCGCGAGTCATTGTGAAGGCCAGAAATGCATTCAGTCACCTTTAAACGATGCGTAATGAAGTCAAGTACATGGCGCATCACTCAGGGATTGATCAGCGCCATGAGCTCTATCCTTTTATCCTTCTTTTCTTCTCGAGTTTCTTTTCTTCACTATCCTCTCACTCAAGGAAAGAACTATGCATGAATCCTTTATAATCTTGCGGAGCAAACACCAGGTGTTATTTTATTCTTTATTCACGAACAAGTCAATGTTTCTGCGGATTTCGCCTTCATCAGAGCTTGGAACGTTAAGTTGGTCGCAATCTAGCTGGTCAAACACTTCCATACCCAAACAGAGAAATCGAAAAACCAAGATTTTAATCACA